AGCTGGGTGCTGGCAGGCTTGCACCTGGCACGGGCACCGTAGCCAGCCCGTGCCCCTTTAAGGGGTCCGGGGCCGGGAGGGGGGCATAGAGTTTCCCTGGTGTTGGCCAGAGTGGCCACCAGGGAAACCTGGGAAGCCTTAGGCTCCCACTAGTTCGAACTAAAGGGCTACACAGCCCTTAGTTCGAACTAGCTAGTTCGAACTAGGCGTTAGTCCTCGTAAAATGAGGTTTACCTAGTTCGAACTAAGCGCTCCGCTAGTTCGATTCAAATTCGAACTAGCGGAGCGCTAGTGTAGCGCATAGGAAAGTTAGTTCGAACTAACGTCCGTTAGTTCGAACTAACTTTCTAGTGTAGACATACCCCCATGCACAACCAAACCCTTACCTTGCTTTAAGTTTGAAGAGGAAGCTGCATACCAAATTTGTTGGTCCTAGCTCCTTTAGGAGGAGTTCTTGAACAAACAGACAGATAAACTCGCTCACTCACAAACCCTCTCAAATATATAGTAAACTAACTGATAACCTTGCTTCATAATAATAAACCTTTGTAGTTTCAGGTGATGGCAAGGGATTAAATGAGTTTAGTAAATGAACTCTCCTCATTTCTAAAGGCACTACTGGCAACATCAGGTGTAAGCAGATGATAGGGGTGGTTGAGGAGGCTTTCTTTATTGACACCCATGTTGTAACTGTCCTGTAGCTAATCAGAGACTTTGCAGGCCACTACATTTCAGAAGCACTAGGTTTTTTTAATAACATTTATGAGATCTTTTAATAATAAATAGCAAAGTAGGTCAAGAAAAATGAAACCACTATCAAAAGTTTGTGTGTTCAGAGTGAAATCTGCTATACTTATGGAGATAAATCTATCTCATAGAACTGGAAGGGACCTTGAGAGGTCATCGAGTCCAGTCCCCTGCCCTCACAGCAGGACCAAGTACCATTCTATCTAGATCTTAACCACCCAAGCTGTTCTAGATGCAGGATTAAAGAGACAGGAGATGAGTGAAGGTTAGGTGATATAAAGCCACCTTTCCTTTCCCCCAATCCTAAGAGCTTCCAGGGACCTCTCAGGCATCTATGAACCATTACATTACACAGAGATCAACCCAGTGACACCCCTTTCTGCTATCTGCATGGGGGGATGGGCTGCAAGTGGGTAGATAAAACTGAAATAAGCTAGATATATGGGTGCCATGGAACAAATCCCCAAGTTACTCATCTGGGGAATTTTCCGGGAAATTACTATCTAATGATTTGTCCCAGTTTTTGTAAGGAGGTTAATTACATACCTTTTGAAAATGAGCCTGCTGGCTATTTATTATCTGAGTAATTTACAGTGGAGGCTGTTGACATCTAACAGCACGGAGACAAATTGGCATTTAATTGGCTAAGGGGCACTCAGAGACATTTCACAGTACAGGCTAAAGAATCGTCTCTGATTCAAACAGACTAGGAACCTCCACTGGTAATTTACCATTCAGTTTACTCACCGACATAAAACGCAAAGAAATTTTCAAGCCTTGTTATTTGCAGAAACAGTGTTAGCAAGGAGGGGAGGGGGAAGCCCTCTTTACCTAATCCTTCACTTTGATTGAACACCATCTTCACTGTTTGACAAGCAGATCCATCTCCTAGGCAAACTCCACATCGATCTTCAGTTGCATTGGAATTTATTTCATAATCACAGCCAACAGCCTAAAGAGAAAGATATTTTTAACATAAATATTCTATCTATAATTAATCACTCCAAACTCAACATGCCACTGACTCAGGTGCTGTGTTCTAATCTGCTGCTTCAGAAGGGGAAGTGAACTAATTTCATAGAATGCAAATATACTTTGCGTGTAAACATTTAGTACCAGAGACTGTCACATTTATTTTAAGTACATACTGTATTGCACAAGAGTGACAGCCATAATTTGCACAGTATATGCTATGAAGCATGCAATGGTAAACAGAAACCACTTTGTTAACAGAAACAAACCTTTCAATTAACCTGAATTGTCCAGCCTATCCTGGATTTTTTTCTCTACTGTTGTACTGCATACAGATATCCTAGGTTTCCGAAGCAACTGCTTTGCCAATTGAACTAAAAAGTAGCAGTGTTAGTGCACCAATATCATATCTATTAACCTTTGCAAGCATATTACTGACATGAACATTTTTTGACAGACCTGAAAGACACATTCTCTGATGGCATAAAACTTTACACCAGCGAAGCCAGCTTCTGTAGTTCCCCAACACAGGAGAACATGTCAGAGGGCAAGAGGGTGAGGTGTAGTGGAACTACACCTAGCCAATCATCCATCCATATATGGCCTATTAGGAGTTGGACCATATTCCAATGACAGAACAATCCAATTTGTCTTAGATGAGCTTTGAGATAGTTCAGAGTATATTATAGGCTCAAAGAGCTGGAACTTCTTTCTCTTGCACAGAGCCAAGCTCAGATGCAAGGGAAACTCTGACCCCAGATTATCTCAGAAAGAAAGAAACGAATACAGAACTAAAGAAAAGCTAGAATGTAATATACAATATATGCAATACTTTGGAAACACGGACTATTCAAACACCTATGTTGAGATATGGCAGCTACTAAGGACCCAGTGTATCAAATTTATAAGAGTTATGTGCAATTTTATAGGCTGGCTAGTGACTGTAGCATGGCTCAATAGATCAACTAAAGCATATTTCCTGCAGGAACTAAATCCCCTAGGGGCAACAAGTCTGGAATGTTCATATCTGCCTCTAAGCTGCTCTGTTAGAATGGATACACTCCTATGTCTATACTACGTGTTTTGTCAGAAGAGGCAATGCAAATGAAGTGCTGATTAGCATTTTCTCATGCTTCATTTGCAAAATCTATTCCGATCTGTTTTTGCGCAAGAGGTTTTTGCGCAAAAATATGCAGTGTGGACGTGTCCATTTTGAGAAAAAACCCCTTTTTATGCAACATCCTCTTGCCACTCCAGGATAGGTAGACAGGTATATGCCTGAGGCAAACGGGACAGGCCTCAGACAGGCATATAAAGGTTCTTTCACCTTAGTGGAATACTTTGCCAAATATGTCACCCCATGTAAGAGGAGTACCAAAGATGAGTGGGAATATGACCAGAAGGCTCTGGGCTCCAACAATCCCTCAACTGGCATAACAGTGCATAGAAGGCCACAACACAGCAGCGTAATTCCAAGCAGTCTTGACATTGCTCTAAATTTCATGGCTAGGCAAACTAGTTCTCAGCCAGCCCAGCAAAAAGGATGAGGACAAAGAGTTGCAGGAAGCCTTCCTTGTCTGCAATAGCAAGTGCTACTGGGACATATGTCAGGATTTAGCCCTTGAGGTTTAATTTCACTGTTTGATTACGTGCTTCACCACATGGCATAATGGATGTATTCATATGGGCATGTGACTGTAATTTGAAAGCCTTTCTACAAGAAGAAAAAACAATTGATTTCCTGTCTCTCAGCTTCAAAAAGGAAAACAACCTGGAGTGTTTCCCTTTTGTCTCCTGATACCATTTTCACAAGGAGAGACCTGGATGTCACGTCAGCACAGTTAGCAGGAGGTCAAAATGAAAAATCACTCCTTCAGCTGTGAGATATGGTCACAAAAGCAAACTGAATTTCAACATTGCTAGGGCGGCACACGATACCTTTACAAGCTTCTCCTTTCACTTGTGTCTCCCTCTGCTGCTTCAACGGGGAAAGCGACACATCCCGGTGTATCTATTTATCTTGATACGTGTTTAGCCGGGAGGGGGTGCGGGAGGGCAGAGAATTGATGTTCTATTGGACTGACAGTGGAAGGGTAAAAAGTGGAGGCCACAGCATTAAAGAACTGTGCTGTTTCTGCAAGATTGAAACATGCACTTTGATACCTTACATGTTAAAACCAAAACCAGAACAAAAACAAAACAAAAACTCCCAAAAGCGCAACTTAACTTTCCTTTTCCTCTCCATATGGTATTATTACCCTCCAACAAGAAGATATTAATAATACATCTTACATCATGATTTTAAAAAAAGAACAGACTATTCTCCTGGCTGATTGAATATGATTTGAAGGGAGACAGAACATTTTAGCTGAACCTATGTAGACTAAATCTAATTTTCTGTAAGGAGAGAAGCAAAATTCCCACCTATCAGTTTTTATAGCGAATCTCACACACACATATGCCAACCAAACTCTTAGTTACAGATAATGACACACATCAGATTAAGTCAACTCCCTTTTTGTTACCCAAGTCCAGGAAACGTCCATATCTGTCCCTCTCACATAATCCTACTATGGTGGCAATGCCTCTTTATTAGTGGTAATAAATATTTATGTTCTGGTAGCACCCACATGTTCCAATAAAGATCAGAGATCATTGCAAAATGCACTTTAGTACTACATTTGCCTACCTCACAAGACTATGATGAGGATTAAAAATTGTTTTCATATCTACTGATAAAAGCACTATGTACGTGTTATGTTTAATTATACAGTAAAAGATGAGTTATCCGGCATGTTACCAGCTGGAAAGCCCTATAAACTGCCATTTCTGATGCTCATTGAAAGTGTGGTTTATAGTCCAGCTGGCACTGGGCCAGCAGGTTTCCTATCTGGCTCTATGTGGCTCCCTGGAAGAGGCTACTGGTCCCTAAGCTCTTAGGCAGAGAAACAGACACAGGAGCTCCTAGTGCTGCTCCGCCCCACTAGCTCTGCAACTCCCATTGGCCATGAACCATGGTTAACAAGAGCTGCTGGGGCAGTGACTTCAAGTGGAGGCAACACTCAGAGTCACCTAAACACTCCTCCACTTGCAGGCAAGCAAACATGTCCCTGCTTGCAGGGAGCCACCCAAGGTGAGCACCACCCAGATCCAGTATCCCAAAACCTCCCCCCCCAATCCCTGTCCTGAGCCTTCCCACACTTAAACTTCATCCCAGAGCTTGCACCCTGCACCTTTGCCTGTGCGCCAAACCCCAACACTGAGCCCCCCTCCAGCACTCCCTCCTAGAGCCTGAACCTTGCACTCCATCCCACAATATGATCCACCTTGGCCCCAGCCTGGATCCCTCTCCTGCACTCCCAACCATTCAGCTCTGGCCCCACCCTCAGCTAGAGCCCTCACCGCTTCCTGCGGCCAAACCTCTACTGACGGATCCCCCTCCCACACTCTGAACCCTCATATCTGGCCCTACACTTTTAGTTAATCAGATTATTTAATTTATTCACCCCCCCATACCCTAACATGATGTATAACAAAGCTTTTATTGTATATATGAATAAATGGGAAGCTCCATACGATTTCTAATCCCTAAGATGGCAGTAGGTGGACACAGTCAAATATATAGAACAGATACATTCCCCAGTCCAGTCCTCATTCACTTTTTCAAGCCCCAAGAGTCCATCAGCACATCAAGGATAGCTCCAGCACCTCTCACCACACGGCAGCTCTCAAGTATGATGCTCAAGGCCCCTCACCACACATCTCCCCTCCGCCGCTCCAGCTGGGGTGCTTTCTCACCTCATTTCATTCTCAGGTCTGGTTGTAGTTCTTGCCTAGAAATACCAGTGAACTCACCCCCTCTTTCATTCTCCTGCTTTCAGCCCTCTCTAGCCATCATCTCAGACAGCTGGCAGGCATCCCACTGCTGCTATCCCTATCTGGCTGAGGCTTTTTGGCCTGCGGACAGACCTCCTGACTACCTTCCATTTTCACCAGCTTGATCTGGCTCCACTGCTCAACTGGGGAATGCTCATTGCTCCCTCCTTCAGTGATATCCTCTCCTTAAAGCTCTCAGCCCAGCTCTGTTTCTCTTCTGAGTTCTGTGCATACTCTGGACTCCAGACTCGCTCGGTTGCCTTTTGGCTGTTTCTCCCTGGGACTGCCCCAACCTCTTCATTACATCCAAACTAGGGCAACACCTGGAGGGCAACAGTTACCTTCTTACAAATTGTTTGCCCTTTGGTACCTATGTTTGAAAGCATTGGCCTTGGTCTTTGTGCCTCAAGACACACCAAATACACATGGGTATCAGATATAAGATCATATAGTACCCTACCATTGTTATTTCATATTTGACTTCAGGCCAGTATGAAACATTATTTTAGCCAAAGGAAACATTCTGTGAGAAATTCAGTACCTAGAATGTCTGATTAAAAACATGATCAGGGCTTACTATTTCATGTTCAAGGACTCCTTTTTCAGATTAGCAATCTCAATATTCACCTATTATTCCAGTACCAGAATTAGCCCTGCACGAACAAATGTATTTTCAAATACAACATGTATTGCATTCACTTGAATTGAACTAATATTGTGCCAAATTATTCTGCGATGTTTGAAAAGGTTTTTTCCTCAAGTGCGTAAGCTGGTGGCTTGGACTAATTTTGAGGCTTCCCTGCAATGTAGACGTGCTATTTCTAAATAAGCTATCATATATATAATAGCCCAATGTCTGAGACTCTGTAACACTGAAACGCTAGCTGTTCCCTCTGGGCGGCACTGTTGCCTCCCGCTGTGACGCTCAGCTGACTTCTGCGCCACTCAGCCAGGCTGCAGTGTGGGAGCAAGCAGCTGTTTAGGATCCGCACTCCCCATGCAGCACAGGGGTGCTGCATGGGAAGCGCGGGGCCCAAACGGCCATTTGCGCCACTTGTTCCCCCACGGCGGCCCGGCTGAGTGGCGCAGAAATCAGCCAAGCTCCACGGCGGGAGGCAAAGAGGGGCGAGGCGGTGACGTGCAGCGTGACAGAGGCTCCAGGCCATTTGGGCTCTGCAGTCCCCCAAGTGAGAGGCAAGAGGGGAGGAGAAGAGAAAGAAAGAGACAGAGAGAGAGAGGCAGGAGGCGGAGGAGAGCTGAGAGAGTGGGAGAGGGGAGGCAGTAGAAGGAGGAGAGAGTAAGAGAGAGAGAGAGAGAGAGAGACGGAGCGAGAGACTGGAGGCTCAGGAGAGAAGACTGACGTGGAGGAGAGACCTGAAAATCCCATCTTATGATGGGCTAATTGGCTAGTTTTATATAAAACGTGTGCTACCATTCAGAGAAGAGGCCTGCTTTAGTTACCTATTAATCATTTCTTCCAATCCTTGGAAATTGACGGATTACATACTGCATCACATGATCCTTGCTCTGATTCATTCTGTTTGTTGGGTGAACTGAAACTATAGCTTGAATGTAAATGGGCTGTTAACTTATAGCACAAGTACACCAATTCAAAAAGCAGCCTCATTTCTCCCGAATCACTTATGATAATACATGACTAATATTTACAAAATGCCCCTTGAAAACAATCATTATCTGTGAACAACTCAGAATTTCATAGGTTCATGTACCATCTTCAGAAAAAAATGATGCTTGAAATACCATATGCAAATTTATACTGTTTACACACATTTATTTTAGGCCTTGATAGACTAAGCATTGAATTGCCTGACAGACATTTGCCTGGGGAATTTGGAGGAAAAGTCAGGACGGGGAGGGTTGGAGGAAAGGAAGTTAAGAGTTAAAACAAAATTCATCTTTGATCAGAAAATGCCAATATGTCCAAACTGAAATCTTATGAGAACCTGCTGATTTTGATGAAACTTTCACTAGGAAATATTCTTAAGTGCAAGATGGAATTTCTGGTCAAGGCCAGAGACATCAGTCTGGTGGCCAGGGCACTCACCAGGGTTGTGAGAAACTCACATTCAGGTCCTTGAAGAAGTGCTCTGTATAGCCTCTCTCTAGTCCAATATAAGTTATTACCTCATCCACCTAGTCTCTTATTCACCTTCTTGCTCTGCCTGATTCAGGTAAGTGCACTGACCAGACTGATATTGAATATGCTGGGCAGGCTGGGCCTCTCTTGCTGGGTTGTTGTGAACATTGAGTGGTCTCCCTTTTGACTGGGAATTTTTTTTCAAATTACAAGAAGTTTCACAAGAAGGTAAAATGGATTCCATCTCACCATTAATGAAGTTAGACTAAGAATACAGATTATGGATGGAGAACGGAGTGGCCTGCGGGGTCTGCAGGAATATAAGTAAAAGGAAGGGAAAGAAAAGAGTGGGGAAGGCAGGTGGATAAGGGCAAAGAGAGCCCTGCTGTGTGTATGGGGAGAGAGTAGAAAGGCAAAAAGGGCCCTGGTGTGCATGTTGGGGGGGAGAAGAACAGGGAGGACCCTTGTGTGCATGCGGGTTGGGGAGAGAGAAAGGCAAAAAGGGCCTTGGTAGTGTGCGTGGGTGGGGGAGGGGAGAACAGCACTCTGGTGGCATATGGAGAGTGAAGAAGAAGAAAGAGCAGGGAGTTTCTGCTGGCGATGGTGACTGTGTGTGTGGAAAAGAAGCCAGAGAAGGTTCGGAGGGGAGAGGCAGAGTGCTAGGGTGCCTTGACTGGAATTTCACAGCTGTGGGTAATAGGCATATTCAATTACAATTCACCTTGCTTCAGGTTTCTGAATCTCCTCCAGCTCCCTTTGAACCAGGGTGCTTCACTTGTCCCAGTGCAACCTTTGACCTCTGGAAAGTCTTTTCTGTAGGTCTCCTCTTGCCCTGGTCTCCAGACTCACAACTATGGTCTCTCATAAATTAAGGGATTCCACAGCTTTCCTCCCTAGATCTATGACGTGGTTAAAGCAGGGCCCCTTGGCCCACCAGAATTTGCATTGCAGTTCCATTGCAAAGTCCTGGACCACACAACTCCTTCCTCTTGGTGACTCCTTTTTGGGGCTGGGCTGTGGTTCAAGTAGGCTCCCTAGCCCCGCTGTCTCCCTTCTGGTTCCTGTCTCAGGGAACTGCTCTTCTGACTCAATGCTTCTCTGCAATGTTCCTGTAATCTTAACCTTCCTGTAAGATATCACACAACTGGGTTTTCAACTGAAGGAAGCAGTGACCGGGTTAACATCTGGATCTCATTCCTCTGTGCAACTGCTGCTCTCCTCCCTTTTTTTTTTTTTTTTTTTTGAAGGATTTTGTCATGGAACAGGGGTTGGCAGGGTCCACTATTCCTTCAAGAGAACAATCCAACCTTTTGCCATAGATCACTTCTAACATGCTCATGTACCAGTTTGGGAACCTCTAATATACATGCTAGAACTTGTGTTTAACAGAGTTGCATCTGTTCATCCTTGCTGATTCAAATGAATTTTAAAAGAACCAGCTTTGGATAAACTAGGCATATATCTGTAGTGATGTGTGAACTGCCAAAGCTTGTGAGAATTGATATGAATAAATCCCCGAAAGCTTGATGCTTAGTCATGCTGATCTCAATCCCTTTTACTTAGAAACCAGAGTGAAAGTCTCATGAGATGAGTGTTCTTATAAAATTTCAGATACTATTGGAGCTGCATCGAATATACTATGAAAATAGCCCTCGTAGAGCAGTCCTGCCTGGAGTCAGGAGGCATAGAGATGAGCAAAAAAGAGGATGATCACCCATCCTATTTTGTTTAGCACAGTACCTTTGGGACAAATCCCCACTGTTATCATAAAGCATGGTGCACAGGAACATGTGGGGAGGTGGGAGTTGGCGGGAGTGGGGGAGCAAGTGGTGATGCCAGCCCCATGGGAGCGGGGAGGACGGAGGGAGACCTAGAGCTAGAGTGAACAATCGTGCCAGCTCCAACCTTTGGGAAATATGGGCATCCTATCTAGTGTGCGTATCACAGCTTGCTCCAATCCTGTCTCCCCTCCTCCCACTGTATATAAAAGGGGGACTCTGGTGCATGGTTTTGATCAGCCCCACACAGAGGAATGCGAGGTGGGTTGGGTGAGCAGCTTGGACCACTCTGGCATAGATGGAGGAGGGCTCAGGTCCAGCCCCACACAGTGTCCTGTTTTCCCTTTGGGAAACATGATCACTCTAGCAAAAATACACATTTGAAAACATGTACCAAATATTTTCATATCTTAAAAAAAAAAAAAAAAGATTTGTTTCAGCACATCTTCAAGTATGACTTCAAGTTCCCCCTGCTCATCCCAGCTCTCTCTCTCTGAAGGCAAGAGGAATCTTTGCAATCACTCCCATGGAAGTTGGATCAGGAACTCCATCTTGTCCAAATACACTAGTACAAGTGTAAGTACTGTATAAAATATTAAGAATTAACCCTTTTGTTGCTCAAAAATGTTCTGTTCTTTCATCCTCTAATAATTCCACCTAGCAGAGTAGACACATAGCAAATACATGACTTGGTATTCAGTTGCTTAAGACATGCAAATATCCCTCCAGGAAGATGATAAAATTAATTTCCACCAGCAACTAACTGTTTTCTAGGGACCTTAGTCCTTCTTTTGCTCCCAACAATGTCACTGGCCAAATCTCCTTTGGGTTTCAGCAAGAACAGGTTCTCCACCTCATATTTAAAAAAAAATGAAAACTACAGCTAGAACTCTTCCATAACACAAAAACATATTCCAATATATTGCTATCCCATTGAAAAAAAGAACTCAATTTCTACGACAATGGGATTACCTTTTCTTCTGTATAACCATTACCCCGTATCTCAGGAATTGCATGTAGTTTTAGAACACACCAACAGAAAATTGTGGCTGCTGGGCTTAGTGGAGAATTATGTCAAAAGAGTAATGTGGCTACAATTGAGAAAAAAAACCACTTTGGTACATACACTCATTTGTTTGCTTTGGTTACCTTTGTAATTAAGCCGGCGTTAGAACATTACAGAAGCACACATTCAGTGCTCTGCCAGTTACCTTATTCTATAAAAACTACTTGTAAATGTCATGCAGTTTCACTGTTTCTATGCCTGAAAGTCCTTCAGTGTGTGATTAAATACTGCAAGTGCAATGGATTTAATTCTAAGCTGATGAATAACACATGATTTCATACAATTAGGATCACGTTTTCAAAATGAAGCTATGTGGAATGGTTAAAACTAATTGTGTCTCCAAAATGTATAATCCTCTGTGAAAACAATATCTCCATAAGAACAGAGCAAACAGACATTCTTAAACTGATTCTGATAATAGAAGAAACAACACCCAGGGCAATCTATTGAGTAGAAAAGGTCAAGGTAACTCTAATGTCCATTAACTTGTTTCTATTATAATTTAAAATACAATGAAATCAAATACCCCATGCTGGTAGCCTCTTAAATTATTTGGGAAATAGTTTCCCATGAAATTTTAGAGAAGGAAACATACAAACATACCCAATACCTTACACATGCCATTTATACAGATATCTCGGGCGTTGCTTCTTTCAAAGCAAGGAGTACCATCACTCACTGCATCCAGCATTTTCTCGGAAAACTGGCCGTCTATGGGGCGGCAGTAGAGTTCACAAGGATTAGCTGAAGGAAAAAAACATATACTTTCTCAGAGTAGCAATTACTGGATGCAGTAACCATGTTCTGAAATAAAATATGCAGCATTCTGATAATCTCTGGTACCTCAACGTATCTGGAAGATGAAACGTATGGAGAACTTCTCATCTCAAAAATGTATTAGAGTCAGATACAGGACTGAAAATATTTAAAATGAATTTAGTAGTCATGAAAAATATTCAAATGACAGTCCCACTGTTGAACAACAGTGGCTAATGTTCTTCATAGTGGATCTAAAGCCCCAGTCAAGAAAGCTTCAGCTTCCAGATACTGGATTGTGTTATGGCTCCTTGACTGAAGAGCCCATTATTAACTGTTCCCTGCATAGATACTTACAGACTGTGATCAAGTTACTCCTTAATCTCTTTATTAAGTGACATAGATTGAGCTCCTGTAGTCTGTTACCATAAGATACTGGTGAATAACCTGCAGCTTGCAGATGGCTCATCAGAGTAAGCTACTGGTGGGTCACCAGACAGACAGATTGTTTCCTGGCATCCACAGGTATTGGTGCCCATAGCTTGCATTGGCTGTGATTTGTCATTCCTTACCCTGACAAGCTGCAGGTTGCCCACTGCAGCCATCAGACTTAATTTCTAATCCTTTATTCATCCTTGTGGCTCTTCCTGGAATGCTCTGAAGTTTATAAAATTTCTTGCAGGTACCAGAGTTGGCTAGACAGAGCATTCCAGCTGCCATTGCACCAGTGCCAAGTATGGAGATAAAATAACCTCTTTACCCATATTTGAGTTCCCCTTTTTCTACGTCCATGGAGCATTTTAGCCCTCTTGGCAATAGTGTTGCAGCTGGAGCTTTGCTGGATTGAAGGTTTAAATCTATTACTACTGACAGACCCATGAGAAGCAAGTCAACCAAAAACCGAAGGCATTTATGCAGTTTAGATAGGCATTTATTAAACATTTCAAGGAATATTCAACTGTCTGTACACCCATCTCTGCTGAGAGCCTGAACCAAAGCCTAATGACGTGAATATTGCGACCGCTCTCACTTTCCCACATCACTGTTTTGTTGCACTTTCATCATCTAATGGGGCAGCAATATTCAAACATGCTAGGGCAGGGCCCATGTGCAGTGCAATTTTTGGCACTGTTTAAAAACAAAAACAAACTTATACTTATAAATGATAGACGAGCAAGAAGGTAGCTCAGTCTCTATTTCGTGTTTGAACAGCACGGGCAATATGTTCAGCTCTGTGTAGCCAGGCCTGCTGATGGGGTGGGGGAGGAGGCAGAGGAAACGGCAACTGCCCCAGGATCTGGTGATTCAAAAGGGCCTGGGAATCCCAGCCACTGCCACTGAGGCAGCAGTGGTGGCTGGAGCCGCAGACACTTTCAAATCACCACTGGAGCCCTGTGCAGAGCTGAAGTGCAAGACGGGGAAAGCTAACCCCCCAGCTCCACCCCTTTCCTGCCCTTTCTGCCTCCTTTGTCCAAGGCCCGGGCAATTTAACCCCTCCATGTGTAGCACACACAATAAAAGCTGTCCCTTCCCCCAAAGAACTAGAAGGTCCTATTCTTGCAAAGTCTCAACTTAGAGCATGCAAGAAATCCCATTCAAGTCAATATAGATTTTGGAGAATTGGGGGTCTCAAAGACAAAATCAAATGAGACATTCCAGGAAACTCAGAAACATAACTGGTTTTGGCTAACTGTACACGATGGTAAAAGTTGGGGTTTTTTAAGTGGGACTTGATTGAAAAGAAGGTCGTGGCTTGGCAAATGGAATGAAGAGGAGCATTCCACTTATCATAGGCATGATTGAGATAGGAGTGTGCAGAGGGTGGATGGAATTGAGCTTTGAACCTGGAATCATTCAAGGAGGCAAGTGGCAGGAGTTAAGGTCTGGGATGTAGTTGGGGTGGAATTATGTAAGGCTTTGAAGGCTTGGATGAAAAAATTAATCCCTGTTCAATCCTTAACAGTCTGTGAAGTTTGCTAACTGGGGCAATCAAACAATCTTCATTTTAATTCTGTTCTTTGAGATGCACAAAAGAGGTCTGATTTTTGTTTTTTTCTATTTAAATTCATGTAGGAGCTTTCTGCCTGCTGTGGTTAATTTCAGTACCTGGTGCTAAGATTGATTTAGTATTATTTCTGCTACCATCAAAAGCACCATTTTCAATTAAAAAACACCATGTTTTCTAGGAAACAAGGATTCTGGAATCCCACCTCATCTTTGTCTCCTGCTCTAAACTGATCTTGTCTGACCTGGAAATTTTGCAAAACCCTTTTTCTGCTTTCAAGCCATTCCTAAAGTGTAGCATAGAAGTTTGACTTCTCAGTGGAGAAGTGTATGGAATTGTGCAAAAATCACCAGGTGTCTAATTTCATTTCTGGAAGTGCTGAGCAAGAAAGAAGAGCACAGCAGCAACTGTTAAAAAATGAAACAGACATATTGGGCATGAACAAAAAAAAAATTGTGTTCTCCACTGAAGTTCACTGAAAATAAGAGTAGTTCCTGTTCCTACCCCACAGTGTCAATTCATTATTCAACAGACGGGCACTTTAACTCCAGCAATGATGTAAGTATTAAGGTTCGGTCTTTCACATTCAGACACAACTGACTATGGACTGACCACTGCAGCCATTGAAGAAATTGCCTATTATCCCGGCCACTTTAATAGCCATTTGTTTTCCAGATTATGATGTATACTAGACAATCAGCCCGTCATAAGACGGGATTTTCAGGTCTTTCCTCCACGTCGGTCTTCTCCTGAGCCTCCAGTCTCTCGCTCGATCTCTCTCTCTCTCTCTCTCTCTCTCTCTTTCTTTCCTCCTCCTACTGCCTCCCCCCCACTCTCTCAGCTCTCATCCGCCTCCTGCCTCTCTCTTTCTCTTCTCCTCCCACTCTCACTCGGGGGACCACGGAGCCCAAATGGCTGTTTGGGCTCCACACTCCCCATGCTGCCTGGGGAGCGCGGAGCCCAAACGGCTGCTTGTGCCGCTTGCTCCCCAGCGGTGGCCCGGCTGAGCGGCGCAGAAGTCAGCCGAGCACCACGGCAGGAGGTGAAGGGGGGCAAGGCGGTGACATACATGGCCAGGCCCCAGCCCCTGGCCATGTACGTCACCGCCCCGCCCCCTCTCCCCTTCCGCCGTGGCACTCGGCTGACTTTTGCGCCACTCAGCCGGGCCACCGCGGGGGAGCAAGCAGCGCAAGCAACCATTTGGGCCCCCCTATCCTCCAAAATTTGAGAAGAGGCTAAACAGACAGGTGAGCCCATCACTGTCACAGATTGGTTAAATATAATGTATCCATATAGGATTATTTCTCTTTCTAGCCTTTATTTCATAACCTCAGTGTAGCCCTTACATTGAAATACAGTTCTCCAAGAAACTAGCGGATTTAGATAAGCTTAACTGTACTCCCCTGAATAAAATAAAGCAATAAAGTAAGCTAACCTGCATATCACTTCCTTATCAGAGATAGGTGGATTTAATACCATAAGGATAAACATTTTATCCTGGTTTAATTACCTCTGTCACAGTGGCACTAGTCTGCCAGTTTCCAAGAGAATTACCTGTGGAAAATGAATAAGACTTTTTCTTCTTCAGCCGGATATTTCTGTATTTATGCTTTTTTATATATAATGCTGGAGAAACTGTAACTGCATATCCAGTATTAAGAGAAACAACCTCTGCTGGGCTTCTCATCTCTCTTCAAATCTAGGAATTGTCTGAGCACTGAACTGAGGGAAGAATAGGATGAATTTGCTCTTAAAAAGTGAAGGTATAAGACTACTGAACAATTTAACAACTAGACCAGTGGTTTCCAAACTTTTTTGATCACGCACTCCTATCAGTAAAAAATTTTCGATCACGCACTCCCAATATATGTAAATGTATTTATTTATAAATTATATACATGTACTACTGTACTAATATATTATGTACATTATAAAACATACACAAAAAATAGAAATTAAAAAAGGATGAGATAAAGATGAAATAAACAATATTTTTAAAATATTTTTTAAAATGTTATTTATTAATGGTACAGAAAACCTTTTTGCTCTCACTAAAAAAATATTATTATTAATAATAATATTTTTACTGAGAGCAATGTGATTGAATATGCTTCATTATTTTGAAAATCTTGGTTTAACACTTTGTGATACAGCGATCTGAAGGTCTAGTTTTAAGTTCAGTTTATTTCGATACTTTGTTTTAATGGCTGTCATAGCTGAAAAAGACACCTCACAAAGATACGTAGATCCAAATGGAAGAAGTCCTTAATTGGCTGCACTTACTAAATCATGGTACTCCTTTTTCATCCCATCCACCAATTATGCAAAGGTTTCTGTTGAAATTCGGCTAGTAAATTTCCATCTTCCCTGATGTCAATCAGTTGTTCTTTCAAACTAATCGGAAGGTGTTGCATTTTTATATTTTTAACAAATGGGTTCAAAACCCACTGAAACTCTTCATTTGGAAGATTTTTAAATAGGTTAGAAAATTCTGTTTCCAAGTTTTCTAAGTGTGCAGATATGAGAGTTTTTATAGGTGACACACTTACATCATTTTCGATGGAAACCTTTCCAAACATCTATTTTCAAAATGCTCTCTCCATAGCACGAGCTTCTTTCGAAAAGCAGTAACTTGCTCACTTATTGTTAAAATGTCACCTTTACCTTGAAGGGACAGATTAAGTGTGTTTATTTTTTCGAAAATATCTGCTAAGTAGCATACTACTGATAGCTACTTGTCATCACAGAAAAGGTCAGCAAATTTGGAACACTTGTCTTTTTGTAAAAGAAAAATGCATAACTCATCTTTAAGTTCGACAACTCTTTTAAGCACTTTGCCACGACATAACCAGCGAACCTCTGTGTGGTACAAAAGATTTTCATGGTCACTCCCCATCTCATTACAAAGTATTGTAAAGATTCTACTATTTAAAGGTCTTGTTTTTATAAAATTAACCATATCGATGACATCCTGTATCACTTT